TTTTAATGCTCTTTTTGCCACAAACACTTGTTCTTGGATCATATGAGGTACTGAAACCTTGACTTTTTTTGGCATCAGCACTTCTTACTAGCAAGGGGACTGAGATTTGTGGTATATATCACAGCATCACCAATCCCTGGGCCTGTCTTAGTGACTGTCAGCCCAGTTACTAGTCAGAGCCTACTATCGAAGCCATTAGGAGAAAGGAATAACTCTTCGTGCTTAGGACATAATATTTCCCCAATTGGGGCTGCCATGAGCAAAATTATAGCTTACATTATGACAGACTGCAATGAAATTGAAGTGCAAAAAAAAAAACCTGTGAGCAATAAACCAGCTTCAAGTTCATATTTGTCCACTGGTTTAACCAAATGTGAAAGAGAGAGAGGTGGGTTACTGAAGACAAACGAACAAAAATATTTTTCTAGCTCCTCATATTATAGCCATGCTCCTATTTCCCAAATAGTACCCCGAGGAGCCTAAGAATCAAGCCCTTTTCCTTCTAAGAGGGAGGATTTAACATTGCTTAATAATACCATTCAGCACTACTCAGCCTTAGCCCTGGAGCATCGCATAACTACTGAGTGCCAAGAACTGTATCTTTCTTGCAAAGCTTTATGTTCTGCCTTTACCATTTTGCTTCCCTTCAGGAGATGATATAGCACAGTGCCGTATGAGACGGGGACCTGTCACTAGCCTGCCATAGTAACACACCAATAACTCAGTAGATAACATTTGCCTCTCTCTAGATGTTTTCAAATAAAGCCCATAATCTGATACTAGCTTCGATAAAAACTTGACCACATAACTCAGTTGGCTACTGATTAAGCTAGTCACATATTAAAGCTTCCTTTAAGGCTGTTGTCTACCTTTTTTTTTTTTTTTAAACAGACAGAAGTATTTCAACTTTTAATTAAAAAATAACCTTACATAGAACAGATCCTGCTCCCATCACAGCCAGCAGGGTTTTGTCACTGAGCTCAATAGGAGCAGGATTACCTCCATATATTTTAAATTCTTTGCTTCTTTTGTTGAAAAGGCAAGCACACGTACAGAACCGCGTTTTCTCTAATTCTGCTATAAAATAGAGGTCATGAGCCAGTGAAGCTACATTGATTTACACCAGCTAAGAATCTGATCCATTGTGCTTTGGTTAAACCTCTCAGCACCCACAGGGAAGGGAGATGAAAACGTAAGGCCATAGGGCAAAGTGCCACGGGTGTTTTAAAGCTGGGATTTGAACTTTAATGAAAGATATAGCAGGAGAGCTTGGGTATGCTACCAGTGACAATCATGCCTTCTTTGTAGGTAGCCTCGCACACCTTCAGAGTTGAACGGGTGCCCTGGGAATGTACGACATATTTTTCAAAATAATGTGATGGTAACCCTAGTTCTCGCTTGCCCATTTCAGAGGGATGCCAAAGCTCTCCTATTCATTCGTTCATTCCAATCTCTCATGCCCTCCAACATGGCTCCTGCTTGTTGCCAGGTAGCAGTAACAGTTTTATTGCATGGGCATCTAATTATTCCAGCTATTGTGCTGATTTTTTTCCCAAGAGAAATCAGCCACAGCCCAAGCCCGGATGCTTTCCTTTCTGTTGCAGAAGTGTTCTCCCTTCCTCCCTGGGACTTTTGAAGCTTGGCGAATTTAGGTAAGTCCCACGTGCTGGTGACAGAGACTTACTTTTATAAAACTGTGTAAGATTAGAAATGTGCTTAATTTGTTAGGAAATGGTCTCTGCAACCCGATTCCACCACCCCTGTCTAGTCCTAAAAGCCAGTTGCTTACATTAGATTACAGCTTTTTGCATTGATTGGCTGATAAAAGGAAGGTGAGAAGGATTTTGATAATTTACCGTTAGATCAGACTACCCACATTTTTTTTACAAATTTCCCACAATGTTCAAGATGCTCAGTTTGATCATACTTCCCATGACGAGCTTTGGGAAAACGCTAGCCTACTGCAGACCAGTCAGGCTGCAGTCAGTGATGGGCAGCAGAGCGAGATCTCTAATGGAGAATGTGAACAGCATAGACTAAAATGCCAGCAGTGTGTGGACGACATTCAGCTATACACCACATCCAGAGCAGACGGAAACAGCACCATCCCACAGGTGCCCAATGGCTTGACTGAGTTCAACAACTGGATGAAGAACAGGTGAATAAAGCTGAGCCCCGGAAAGAAGGAGGCGATACCGATGGGGAGAGGGAAGTACATTGAAGAACATGTCATCTTGATAAGGACATCTATCTATCTTAAGGTTTTGTACTGCTGCCCATTCCTCATAGTATCCAAGTGCTTTCCATGTAAAATAGATTATTAACGATCTGAAGGCAGATTTCCAGAGTTCTCGTCCTTGGTTTTCACCTGGATTCCTCTATACTTCCAGATATTCAAATGGCCAGCTCTGCAAAAAAATCTGCATTTCCATTAGTGGCTGCCAGGAAGACTGCAGCCTCTTCCGCTGGATTCAGACTTTGCCCCGGTGACCCACTCATTTATGATCTCTGGGCTTGATTACTATGGTGGTTTCAGAGAAGTAAACTTACAAGAGCTCTTTAGAATTGGTTCAGAACACAGCAGCCCGTCTGCTGAACAACACACGCAGTCGACAGCACATCACTCCAGTGCTCTGCTCTCTCCATAATAGAAACATTATGGAGGCAAACTACTGATATTGCATGAACCCTGGCAGCGTGGGTGCTAAAACCATGAGTTACTGACACCCCAACTAAAGTACAGTGTGACTCATGGGACAGCCTAATCTTCTTAGACAGGCACTGAGCAGAAGTGACTCCCTCTTTATACTGAGCCCCAAAGGCTATAGAAAGTCTTGATAACTTCCTAAATTCCCCATCCTATCGAGCTAAACCCTCCAAGCCCTGTCGAGATTTAGGGTATGGAGTCTAGTATCCACTAGCCGAAATTGAGGTTTTGAGAAGAACATGGGGAGATTAATGGGTTGAATCAGATGGAACTACTCGGGAAAAAAACAATTGGGTGTCATTGTGAATAGCTCACAGGAATTGCCTACTAAGGATGTAGCAGCACTCACAAAAGCAAACAAGACATAGGATGCAAAAAGAACAGGATGGAAAATAGTAGTGAAAACAGTCTAATGTCATATAAAAGAATGGTATGCTCATACCTGGAACACTATGATCAGTTCTGGTCATCCTATCTCAAAAAAAGATATAGCTGAAATAAGAGGGAATTCAGAGATGGGTAATTAAAGTGATTAGAGGCATAGGAAGACTACCATATTAAGAGAGATTGAAAAGAATAGGATTGTTTAGTTTGGAGAGCAGATGAATAAGAGAGGACATGAAAGAGGAATGCAAAACAATGAATGGGGCAGAGAAGGTATATTGGGTATTGCTGTTCAAGTTTTTCTCGTGATTCAAGAACAAGTGGATGATCAATAAAATTGATAGCCAGTAAATTTTAAAACTGATAAAAAGGCAATTTTTTTTAAACTCTACATATACTTAACCTGTGGAACTTGCTGCTAAAAGATATAACTGAGGACAAGAACTTAGTAGGATTCAGAAAAAAGGATTGGACATATATTATGGATAATGAGAACAGGAAAAAATATAAAAAACATTGCTGGGAATCAAACAGCACTCTGTTAAGCTGTGTTGCTGCAGCAGTGTTGGTCCCAGTATATGAGAGACAAGTGGGTGAGACTTTTATTGGACCGGCTTCTGTTGACGGAAGAGACACAGTTTCAAGCTTCAAAGAACTTTTCATCAGGTCCTTTGAGGCTTTGTGAAGCTTGAAAGCATGTTCCTCCACCAACAGAAGTTGGTCCAATAAAAGATATTAACTCACCCACCTCGTCTGTCTAATATCCTGGGACCAACATCACTAGACCACCACTGCAAACAACCACCAATACAAGTTGATAAAAGGCAGTCATTGAACCACAGATGCATTCTGTGGTTTAAACAACACATCATGCATTAAAAAGTTCTTACTTAAGTCCAACAATGCTGAAGTTTGTGAAACAGCTTTTCTTAGCGAGATCTCATTATTTTCAAGCATTGAGATATTCTCTATATTCTAGTTCATAGTGGTATGTCATATTACATTAAGGTCAATCAGCCTTTGCAATAACACATTTAGAAACAAACAGTCAAATGGAAAAAATAGAAGAAAAGATGTAGCTAGAATGCACATTCATTTATTTCCTAAAAATACCAGCACCGATGTGCCATGCCCTTTGGGGTCCCCAGGAAATGTGGCACTAGTTGATTGTCTCATCCTCATTTAGGAAAACTTGCTCCTCCACATCTCTACCTAAGATCCACTTTCTTGCTTAGCATGCTTGGAGGATAAATATTCTCTATTTTCATTTTCTCCCCACTGCTCTAACCTTTCTTCATTTCTTTTTCTAGCTTGCTAATTCTCACACTCTGCTATTATAACTCCCACAGAATCTGGATTGTAATCTTTGAAAGGTTTCCTCTTTGTCATGCCCTGCTGATTCCAGACTAAAATTATTCATAAAAAACCCCCCCAAACCCCTAAGAATTCCCTCTAATTTCCAATAGGGTTGAATTACAGTATATAGTTACCATACTGGAACAGGATTGCTAGTCAAATTTTCCTTCCAGCAATGGTGGGACTGTAGGAGCTGTCACTGCTGCAGTGCAAACGCCTCACAGCAATGCTCTGTCATTGCCAGCTATGATTTTAGCACTATAAACTTTGTCACAGTTATGCCCTGCTAAGACCTGCTATAACTCTAGCACACTAAGCTTCCTCAATGTCATGTTCTTCCCCTGTGGATCATGACTCTTGCTGACATGTTCAATGAGAACGACTTTATTTTTTTTTAAATCAACTGTCTAAATTATTAATACAGTTATAAAGATGGCACTAAATCATCAGCAGAAGGCAGCGAGACAAAACTGCAACATAATCTCTCATTTCAGAGCCAGACGGCTGTTCTATGCAGATAAAATCAGTGCATGAGGAAGCCTCAATGATGTACCTGGGTAAGGATGCATATTGCCTTTCCATCCCTTCAAAGTGGAGATTGTGTGAACTCCCATCTGGACCTTTTCCAGACACCTGTGGAGAGAAGAGTAATTAGAGATGAAGATCAATTATACACCCCGGTTACTGACAATGCATCTCAAAATGATAATCAGAGAACAAATGATGCTGCAGGGTGCCAAAATCAACAAAAGAAAGGCAGAGGCTCAGAGAATCCACAAATCCCATACTTAATCTTATCACTGCTAACAAGAAAGGGTTCCATATCAAAGGGCTGTTTAGAACAGGTACCTTCCTCAGTGCGGTTCCCTTGGCAGTAGGCCAGCAGGGATACTGTAAACTTTTTTGGTTAGTCTCCCACCCGTAATTCAGTAAAATCAGGAGATAAACCTGATTAAATAAAAGAATTTTAATATTGCTGAGTCATGCACACATTATTCAAAGGAAAGAATGAGTTTACATACTAGTTCCAGATCTGTTTATCATCTCTTGTCAAGTTTTCTACAGTAAAAAAGGTGATATAAACAACCTTTGCTTTCATTCACAACACAAATCTAGAAGCTTTCCCTAACACTGTTGTAAAGCTGAATATCCAACAGGGACGTCGGTGCATTTATCATGCTCTAGTGTCATTTCAGAAGTGAAGCATTAATGTGCTCAGTGAAAACATCAGCTCTCTACTTGGTTTGTTTTCAAGATGGCAGCTCGAGTTGGCTGAGTGTGAAATCCTATCAGGAAGACTCAAACTGAGGTAAGAATGCTGAACTTAGATGCTTTTAGCTCATAGGAGTTCTCCCAATTTCACTCACTCAATGCCCGCTGATGGCCCAAGTGTTAAGAGCCTTGTTCAAATGTAGCTATTAGTCTTTTCCTCCATAAATGCAGAAGGCTCACTGACTGCATTCAGTGTTTCCTACATTAGTATGTAGTCCTATTCTGGCACTGCTAGAATCAGCAGTTTTATAAAGCAATATACCATGAGGCCATTTAAAATCCTCTTCCCCTTTTACAGATTCATGGCAGAAGGGAAGATTTAATGCCTTTTCAAACACTTCTTAACAATTCATTAAGAAGAAAAGAATAAATCACACTCGGCTTTCTGTAAATGTCTGATTATAAAAAGAGGAAACACAAACTAAAAGTAACATGTTTTTCACATTCTACAGGTTAGAGAGCACCCTTCTGTCAATCTTGGCATTTATGCACAATACGTCAGTTTCACTAAAGAGATTTAAAATCTGTCGTGATGGAAAGTTTGTGCAGTGAGTTAATTAGGCTTATTCACCTGTATATAATGTTTTCATGTAAAATATCTCTTAGAGAGATCCATAACAAAAACCAAGTCCAGTGTAAACAGATGTATTATCAGACTAAGTTGCTAGGCAGAGAGAGTTTCAGGAATTATTGTAGACTAGTAGCATTATGCCAAGTCTGCCGCCTAATATTCCGAGCTAATATTAGTAATAATCCAGCCTTTTGCTAAGTGAACAATTTATTCTGGAGGGGCCCTTGGCTAATGCCTCTTGATTTGAATCAAAATGGTAAGGGGACGTTAAGGGGTTGATGAGTACCAGAAAATAATCATCTCTGATTTGAAATAACCCTACTTTAATAGTGCCTCACTGAGGGGGGAAAAAATCACTGTCCTAGATTTCATAAGGCGGGTAGAAGGCCAAACAGATTATTTTGTTCATTTTTCCACCAGTAAAAGTGACACACGTTTTATACAGAAAGTGAATACAAAAATTCACAGTCACTTCAGCTGTTCTCACACTTCAGTAATTTTCCTTAAATAGCTGGGTACTCTGGTGATAGACAATCCCAGAACTTTTTGCTATTTTTTGCGGAAAAGCAAAGGAAAGAAAACAGATTTAAGCTTTTGTTTACTGAGCACAAAAATCATGTAAAATATGGTCTACCTGCTTGATTCATGATAGAGGATACAGGATAAATGATACACACGGGTAGTTAATTCCAAATTCTAAACCGGAATGCAAGTTTCCTGGTGATTACTTTTAAGCCTACTAAGTGTAACAGCAGTCAACGTACAGCAACACGAAATGATGAAATTTACTGGGTGTTTACCAAGGAAAACTTATGTAGTCACTATGCAAGTAAAAAGTATCTACATTAGATGTGTGCATTGTAACAACCTGAAACATCAATCTTCTGATTGTTTCTTACAGAGAAAATAAAATCAGGTGTCTCCTGCCAGTTCTGTTTGTGTTTGTGCTCTGAGATACAGTTACCATAGAAACTAATTGTGGATACAATTTCACAAATTTGGCTCCACGTAGCTGATGAGTAGACCCCTGTGAAACCCTTTTTCATTTTATAGTTTTTCCATTTCATTTTGGGGGCCCAGGTGGGGTGGTCGGGATGCCCTGCAGTTGCAGAATGAGCCTGCCTAACACTCACTGTGCAGTGGCGGCTCCTGTGCCATGGTGCTGGGCCTGCCTGCCCGCTCCGGGCATTGTGACCTGCCACATGGGATCACTGTGCTGCCCTCAGGTTTGGCCGGCAACTCTTCCATCCTGGTGGGTGGCTGGATCAACCCAGAGTGGCAGAGTGACCCAGTGCGCCAGGTCACAACACCTGGAGCAGAGCCCAGCCCCACTGCACAGGAGCTGCTGCTGTGAGGTTAGGTTTTTTTGTTTTATTTCATGTTATTTCACATTCGTGAAAAACATGGGGCTCTATGATGATTCTCTGCACCCCATGTAGAGCTGTCCAATAAGCTTAAAGAGCAAACTCTGTGTCTTTAATTAAAGACTTAGCCATCCCTTCTCATTTCCTTTTCCCCATCTGTCTACACATCAGTAAAGATGATACATTACTGAATCACAAGTAAAATGATTTCTGAAAGAAGATATTGACCTGACGAAAAGACAAAGGAAAAAGTTATTGCACTAGAAATGTCTGCATTGTTTGCTATGTTCTGGGAACAGTATAAAGGATGGCTCTGTATCAGTCTCTATGCTCTTTGGGATTAGTTAGGCTAATAATTTGTTTTAGAAGGACTAACTTAAAAGATCAAGCACCAACCAGTAAGAACAAAGTTGATCTTCAGGTCCAAGCATTGGTACACAAGTTTTAAACACCGTATTTACTTGCCTTAGTATTAACTATAAATAATTAACTGTATTAACTCAGAAAAAAGACCTAGCCATCACTGTGGAGAGTTTGCTATAGATCTTTGCTCAATTTATAGAAGTGGTCAAAGGACGCACGCAAAATATTGGGATGCAAAAGGAATGGGATAGAGAATTATGCAGAAACTTTTATAATACAATTAAATAAATCAGTGCAATGGCTTTAGCTGGAATACTGTGCTCACTTTCAATTATCCTATAGAATATAGTAGAAATGGTGAAAAATTACTGGAAGCATAGAATCATAGAAGATTAGGGTTGGAAGAGACCTCAGGAGGTCATCTAGTCCAACCCCTGCTCAAAGCAGGACCAACACCAACTAAATCATCCCAGCCAGGGCTTTGTCAACCCAGGCCTTAAAAACCTCTAAGGATGGAGATTCCACCACCTCCCTAGGTAACCCATTCCAGTGCTTCACCACCCTCCTAGTGAAATAGTGTTTCCTAATATCCAACCTAGACCTCCGCCACTGCAACTTGAGATCATTGCTCCTTGTTCTGTCATCTGCCACCACTGAGAACAGCTGAGCTCCATCCTCTTTGGAACCTCTCCCCACCCCCTTCAGGTAGTTGAAGGCTGCTATCAAATCCCCCCTCACTCTTCTTTTCTGCAGACTAAACAAGCCCAGTTCCCTCAGCCTCTCCTCATAAGTCATGTGCCCCAGCCCCCTGATCATTTTTGTTGCCCTCCGCTGGACTCTTTCCAATTTGTCCACATCCTTTCTGTAGCGGGGGGACCAAAACTGGACACACTACTCCAGATGTTGCCTCCCCAGTGCTGAATAGAGGGGAATAATCACTTCCCTCGGTCTGCTGGCAATGCTCCTACTAATGCAGCCCAATATGCTGTTAGCCTTCTTAGTAACAAGGGCACACTGCTGACTCATATCCATAACCCCAGGTCCTTTTCTGCAGAACTGTTGCTTAGCCAGTCGGTCCCCATGGGAGTCTTCCATCCTAAGTGCAGGACTCTGCACTTCTCCTTGTTGAACCTCATCAAATTTTTTTGGCCCAATCTTCCAATTTGTCTAGGCCACTCTGGACCCTATCTCTACCCTCCAGCGTATCTATCTCTCCCCGCAGCTTAGTGTCATCCGCTAACTTGCTGAGGATGCAATCTATCCCATCGTTCAGATCATTAATAAAGATGTTGAACAAAACCGGTTCCAGGACTGACCCCTGGGACACTCCGCTTGATACCGGCTGCCTACTAGACATTGAGCTGTTGATCACTACCCATTGAGCCCAACAATCAAGCCAGCTTTCCATCCACCTTATAGTCCATTCATCCAATCCATACTTTAACTTTTTGGCAAGAATACTGTGGGAGACGGTATCAAAAGCTTTGCTAAAGTCAAGATATATCACTCCACCGCTTTCCCATATCCACAGAGCCAGTTATCATAGAAGGCAATCAGGTTGGTGAATCCATGTTGACTGTTCCTGATCACTTTCCTCTCCTCCAAGTGCTTCAAAATGGTTTCCTTGAGGACCTGCTCCATGATTTTTCCAGGGACTGAGGTGAGCCTGACTGGTCTGTAGTTCACCGGGTTCTCCTCCTTCCCTTTTTTAAAGATGGGCACTATATTTGCCTAGTTACAGGCAGTAACTGTGAAATATTAGTATCACAGTCTTTTAACATAAAGTGTGCTTTTATGTATTACTCTTAACATGTTCAAGGGTTTTTCCAAAAGATTAGGCACATTGTACATTTTTACAATTCTTGTTATTAGCAACATGTTAGTCACAAAAGTTAACATTAGCATTACTATTAACATTAAATTCATTGCGGGTGTACCTTTACGTTTATTTTTGTCATGCCACGCCTTTGGCTCAATACCATTGTGGTTCTGGCATTTTAGGGATAACCTGTGGCTTTCATTAGCATGATAAACTTTTCCCCTTTCTTCCTGTTCTGGAGGGT